CCTGACCCGAGGGGTTCCCCGCGGCGAAGTTGCTGTGGCTGCAGGAGCCAGGGAGTGCCTGGGCTGGCCCTGCTGCTCCTGACCAAGCGGCCACTGGCCCGGGCACCTCCAGCCCCATGGCATGTGCTGGTGCACGGTAGGGCTCTGTGAGCAGCTTCATACAAGCACAGAGCAAGCAGGGAAAGCTAAGGAGAGAGCCAAATTTCAAGGTTATGGAAGACTCCCAGGATCAGCACGAAGGAATGAATTTCAAGCATGTCCTTTTGGTTTCAAAAAGCTGAAATCTTGACATAAAGAGCCTCTTACCGTGGCTCTGCTGCCTAATGCTGCACTACAGGCAGCCCCTCCGTGCCATAGGGACACAAGGCATGGGTGCCCGTATACCCACAGCAAGCACCAGCAGGGTTTATCTGGGGGTCCCAGTCATCTTGGAGTGACTTATGCACCCCTTCAGAGTCCCTGGTCCCATAGCAGTGGGGCAAGGGCACTAATACATGTTCAGGTTGGGAATGTACCCCACACCCCATCTTATACAATCCATTGCCTACATTTCAGCTCCTTCACAAATTAGAGAGCACCCCAAATTAAGGGGCGGAGGAGGGAGGCTACTTACTCACTGGAGAGCTGTACAGCCCAACATGTTGAGCTAGCAGGTCTCTGAACTAACCAAGCCACCAAACACCCAGACCACAGTTTAGGCACTGAGCCACAGTCTTTCTCAGCTGCCCTCCTGGTGCAAAAGCCCGGTGCCCACCACAGAAGAGAGCATCCATGGCACACCTTGGTACCACAAGCCTCTGCTGGCCCCATCTGTGGACAACTTGCCAAGATCACTGATGTTATCTAAAGCAAATCCAACATGAGAGACCATAAATTGCTGTGATCTTGTGTGCGGGACACCCTTTGCCTAAGGCCCCAGAAGCCATGGGCAACAGCAGATCCAGTCCTGCCACATGCTTATTTTTCCATTCTGTGTCTCACTTACCATTTTGCACACTGGGCTTTTGCCTTGATAATTTTCTTTGGCCAAATCATTGCAAGAGTCCCTGGAAATACCATATTCAGGCCTAAAGGTCAAAATAATCTGCTCCTGTGTTTGAGCTAATCACCTTCATGTGCCACTCATTGGGCTATAATGAGAACTAATTAAGCCTGCTCACACCCAGGATCTGCACTACTCTGGAGCAGATCTTCTGCCATGTGTAGTTAGATGGGAAGTAAGTAAGTAAGTAAGTAAGTAAGTAAGTAAGTGCTGGCTTTCCTTGTTGCCTGCTTAGCCCTGGAAAACTGTGAGCCACATATGGTGGCATAAACCATGATAAAATCCTCCCCCACACCTTAGGAAATACTGTGCATTTCTTGAACTCTAAGGAAGCTGCAAAAATCAGCTTGTGGTGTAATGCAGGGACTCCTGACATCAGGACAGCCCCAAAAAAATCAAGTAAGGCTGCACAGCCCAGGTCCACAGTGTCCTCCTGCACCAGCTCTTGACTGGGATCTGCTCAGCTCCGGGTGCCCCAATACCCTCCAGATGTCTGTGATAGCCCAGGAAGATCTGTGGCTTGCAAGTACCATATAGGGCTTCATGCATTTTTTTTTTGTTTGTTTTTACTCAAGTGCATTGCAAGCTTTTTCCCGAGACATATCTCAAGGAAGTGCTGTGGGTTTTGTGGATTATCCGTCTCCCACTTGCCAATCTGCAGGGAAAAGAGGAGTCCA